ATGCAAACTCCACGCAGAAAGATCCTAGAGCCCCCACCGGGACGCGACCTTCTTGCTGCGAGGCAACAGTGCTAACCACTGAGCCATCTTGCAGCCTGTCTAAATAATCATACAGTAAAATAACAACAAATCTACATGTTTCTAATAATACTGATATACTTTCACTTTGGTACAGTTTGGTATTGCAGGACTTTATCATTTACCTAAATAAGTAAAGGACTTGTATCCTTCTTCCGCCACTGGTTTTATGATAATACTGAAAACATAAAAATAATCCCAGGAAATGGTTTTTAACTCATATTGTGTTGTCTTAATGGTTAATGTGGCTCTACAGCATTGATTTCAGAATATAACAGAACTATTGATTATTTTCTCTGATATGGCAAGACCAATTTGTAGGTCATGGTATGTGTAGCCATTTCCTTTGTTCAGGACACCAGATACCCACACTTATACTGTTTTTGTGTTGTCAGCTGCGACATTGTACACGCAGAGCTAAAACGTCATGAGAGTGAAACCAGCGAGTAGTATCATCAGTCCTCTTATAAGTCATTCAGAAATGCAAAATACTTTTCACTAAGCAGCAGGTTCGATTCTCATGGCACCAGTGTTTCAGTGACCAAAAAGCTATTGGGTTACTACATTCTGAGGACTGAGGGGATTTCCATGGCATCATTATTACTATCACACCCATTCATCTGCCTTTGAGAGAAAAGCTTTCACTGAAGTTTTGGGACATTCCAGCATGTCCACGTCTTCCAGCCCATTCATGAAACTTGAGTTGCTTGCCTGAGGCAGGAGACATAGTGATCACCAACAAATAGTATCATTGTGAACATTAACCATGGTGACTCTGATTATTTCATGTATTCACAGAGCTTCAATTAAAAGAATTAAATTAAAGTGAAATTAAATGAAGCAACATTAATTTAATGTCTTGGATTGGAACTCCAAGAGCTCATTTTCAGACTCAAATCAAAAAGAAAACGGGACCACATCGACTGCAAATGAGTTTCACAATCCCGTCTTGACCACAAATTTTTATCACTGTCTCTCGTGCGAACTGCAAATGTCTTGCTGCAAAAGGACAATAAACATGCAGTGGAAGAACTCTGTGGCCCTTTGCACAACAGAAGCAAACAATGTTTGTGTAGACATGCATAGAATTCTGACAAACCAAATCAGTGACTACTGAGCAGGTATAATTGGCTGCAGAAGAGCAGCAACCATGTCAGTTCTGACCTCAGGCTCCTTTAAAGTGTAAAACACACAACTTGCAAATGCACCAAAAACGGGAAATAATGAGCAAACAAACAATGAATCTTTCAGTCGTGCTTTAGTTTATGGCTCCCATATTTTCCAGCTAATTCAGCCGCTGACTGATCAACTGATTATTTCAGTTGATACACTTCTTATTGGTAAAAATGAATAAATGAAACGTTTAATCTGCCCATGGACAGGATGTGCACTTTTCGAACAAAGGCATTACTGAGATGTGTACACAACCCAAAAAGCTCAATAGTTCAAAAAATCCACCACAGAAAGACTGAACTGAACTATTCACTGATCTGTCTGTATCCTTAATAGTGTAATTACAGGCCAGCAGTATCGGCATCCTTACACCTTTGGATCAATGTTGTTGTGTTCTAACTGAAACGTGTTGAAATTAAAAGCTCATTTGTTATACACACCTGCACATCTTTGCAGAGAGCTAATAAGCGAGACGTAACGAGCAGATTTTCCCAAAAAGGTCTGTGCAAACTTATTGATAGCTTTTAGAAGTAGTGATAAATCTGTGGATTGTAGTGGTACTGGAAGCAGAAGCAGACGATTGTCTTCAATTCGTATCACAGTCAATCATTCTGTTTGAATGAAGAAATGTCTGCGCTGAGCTGTTTGGTTTTGCTGTGGTCTCCACACTGAATATGGTCTAGACAAAGAAAAGAGTTGTCTGAGGAAATAAGGAAGGAAATTAAACTTCAGTATGATAAAACTTAGTCTATTTTCAGAAATTCTGATCTGAAAAATTACCCCCAGTTTCAGTTCCACAACTCTAAGGTCAAATGAACAACCTTGGGCTCTATTGATGACACACTTTGGAGAATTTTAAACGACAACAAAGCTGCTTGTTATCATCACCAGGCCACAGAGAGACTAAAAAATGACACTTTTAGATCTGCCTAGTCCAAACAAGAAATTAGAGAATTATAACTCTGAGTCAGCAAAACTGATTTCATTAAACCTGTGAGGAGTGGTCCTACACTCTAAAGCTTCTGTGTTCCCCAGTTCTATTAACACACAATTTTAAACATTTCTAGATCAAATATTTCATAAATATTATCTTTTTTTTTCATTGGAGCAAACCCTAACTTTAAATTTAACCTGTGCTGGGCAACACAAAACCCTTTTGATGGGGTTCCCACAATAGCCCATGTCAGGTTCCAGTAATACGCTGTACGAAGCAGAGGAACATAGAACCCTGGGAACATTGGATCATGTGAACATAGGTACCATGTTCCCAGTCTGTGCCATATAAATCTGGGTAACATAAGGCCCTGGGAACATTGGAATGACTCCAAATGAAGCACAACAAATGCTGCACCCATTTTAGTCATAGTAGCACCAGGCCGCCTCTTCACCGAACGTGCAACGCTTGGCAACCTTCAAAAAATGGAGGCGGGTGACATTTGAACAACAGATATAGCCTGGTTCTGGTGCTAGGACCTCCAGGGCGGAAAGGGTTGAAGTCCATGGGAGCACAGCCTACCTCCCTGTATGTGGCAGCAGGAGGAAAACTGACCCTTTACTGACCAGAAGGAGGATTTGAATGGTGTAAAAAGGTGTGTATGGTTGTACCAAATGCCTCTCTCTGAACCAAAGTGGATTCCATAGGAAAAGACTCCAAAGGAACTCACTTTTGAAATACAAACATAAAATGCCAGATGGGAATTAAATGCATGTTGACAAATCACTGCTGTTCTAAGAGAATACTTCTTTGGACTGACAATTAAAAGGAGAGTCAGAGTAAATAGTGTAGATTTGAAAGATAAGAACAGCATCCTCACTGTAAAACACTGAGGAAGTTAAGCGGTGTTATGGGGGCTGCTATGCTGCATCTGGCATGGGACCTCGAATCTGTGCAGGTTCTCTGGAGTAGAATACACTGAGCAGTACCTGGGAGTCTGTTTCAGTCACTGGTCAACAGGATAAGGACCCAACATATTGTTGTTAAGGAGCCTGAAGAGTCCTGATCTGAATGCAACTGAATATATGTGGAAAGAGCTGGATCTGACAGTTGGGAGAAGGCCTGAGAGAAGTGGAGCAGCACTACTAGCTGAGAAGAGTACAAGTCTCATTAATTGCTAGAAAAAGTGCTTAATTGCAGAAGAGCTTGATTACAGTTATTGCCTTGAAGAATGTGCTACAGAAATAGTAGGTTAAAGGCCCTGATATTTTTGTCCATGCCATTTTAATTTGTTGTTTTTTTTAGGATAATAAATGAATTAGATTTAGATTAGTGGATGCCAATTACGTTTGTCAGTTACGTTTAAGAAAATAGTGTTTTTCTCTTCTTGAGGTGGAAAGGTACCAGCAATTTTGGCCTCATCTGTAGAGGCACATAGCTGTAGCCCACCTACACCACAAAACAGCCAACTTTTCAGTCACAGCTGAGAATAACTGAATTTACTGAACAAAAATAAGTGCTGAGGGAATCCTGTGGAAAAGGCCTTGTTAGGTGCAGAGTGCAAGAAAAAGAAAAAACAGGCAAACAACACCTAAAAGAAGAAGAAAAAAGCCTAAGTGGCTGTTTCTTGACTACCATCTTCCATCATTAAATCCTTTGTGTGGGAAACATTACATATCTATTACTGATGGGCCAGTATTTCACCTTTTCTTCTTCTTCTTCATTTGATAGTCCAGTATCATGTTATCAATAGAGCCTTGATTATACTCCTTACAGACACACGGATAGCTGTGGAACACACCGATGTGTCGTCATTGCTAATACTACTTTTTTGTTCAGTGGATTGAAAGACTACATTCTATACATGCTATACATGTGCAGTAGGTTGTGTCTACGTATTCTGTGCACTATTGCCCTTGTAGCTTAGTTGCTGCTTGAACTGTTCGCATGGACACAAATTTTAGGCTGCTCACTGATTTGGGGAAATAGACTTAAGTTCCGCCATGCTGACCCTAGCAGACCCTTGCATGCTTGCGGACAAGGAAAGTACAACACTGAGCTGAAAACAACAACTACAAATCCTTGGGTGTGTCTGCACTGGAAAAAAAGGCTATTGACGGTCCACATCGTGTAAATATCATCATCTCTCCATGTCTACTAGAGTGGACCCCTCCACTTATATTTATCTGCACTCCAAAATTTGTGTTCTTGCGACTACGCTACAAGTCCAATAGTGTGCATGCTTAGCAAAACTTCTAGATAAGATCTACTGTGTATGCCTGGAACAGAGTCCTCCAAGCAGACAGAAAGTAGTGTAACAACTATCTGCATGGGGTGTGTATAAGTACATCCAAGGCTTCGGCTACCTTTCTAATCCAGAGTAGTCCGCTTACAAGACTCAGTTCCATACATGTGCCGTAGACCGTATCCATGTGATCTGCGTTTACACATTACTGCAGAGCATGCGCACTATTGCCTTCGTTGTTGGCATGCAGACACTTTTGGTTCCATGCAGACCTGTGCGGAGGGTCCATGTGAAGTAAATTTCATCATGATGAAATCCATGTCATGCAGACCCTTGTGCACTCATGGACGAGGCACATTGGCCAGAGAAACTGTTATGTTAGTCACGAGAGATCAAAACCTGAACGTCAAACAGATCACTTCATGTACACAAAGGTCAGACCTATATGCATACATAAGATTTATAAATCATTCCTAACTTCAGATTGAGCATTTCTCTGTGTAGCTCAGTATTTTGTGCAGTGATATGATAGTGTAGTATTTTGGTGGACTACACCTTTAAGAGGATCAGGAAGTGCTTTCATTGCACCGGATGTACAAGTGCTCAATGTGACCTGTGTGGCTAACGGCGTTGTGTTTAATACTGTCTTCAAGGAGTAACTCACGACTTTACAAAAATGTTTCTAACCACCGTCAATTGTAAGTATTTAACACATTAAATGCAAAGAGCCGGGCGCATGCGCGTTTAGAGCTGTCTGAAACGTGAAGTATCCGGCTGGTTAGCTAACACACCGTAAAGGATGCTATTCTACACACTACATGTGTATCATTCACTGCAGCTACACATACTTAAATTAGTGTTTTGTGGACCGCCGTTGGCGATATCTTATAATATCTTACACTATACGTTAATAGGTTTTTACGAAGAGCTTCTAGCATCTATGCCGTATGTTCAGCAACGTTAGCTTTAGCTTCCTTGTAGCTAGTTTGTCGGTGACAGAGCTAACTGACAGGAATATGAATGACATCGTCCGAAAAAGCCCAGAAGGTTCTTTAAAACGACTTACATTTGTTCTGAAAGTGTTGCTCAAATTCCTGTAGAGTCTCGTAGTCACATGAATGAAAAATATTCCGCCCACTTATTGGTAAAAACCGATTTTTTTTATTTATTTCATTTTACTGTGGTGCCTCTATTACCAAATCAAAACAAAGATGGCAGCCCACTGGCTACATTGGGATGAACCTTGTAAGGTTTTCAGAGAGCTTCATTTACCTTCAGAAACACATTTGGCTGGCTTTGTAAGCAGGTGTATATGGTTTATATGCTTGAGCAGTTATCTCTTTTGCAATCATCCTTATGTCTTTGTATTATTTTACCTGTTATGCGCCCCACATTATAACCAACCCAGTTTTTTTGACAGCTTTAAAGGACTACTTCATTTCATATAATGCAGCAAATTACAGCCAATTCATTGTGACTGAAATGTGTGCAATGCATCAAAACTATGTGGTTAATATTTTGAAGATTGCAGCCCATCAGATGACTGCAAGAGAGATAATTTCTTTACAACACTGTAATCTGAAAATGATGCTAGCGTTCAAATATAAATGACATTAGACATACCAAACACATAGCCTACAACCTAAACATAAGAAACAATGCAATAGTGTTGTCTGTACTCAAGAAAATATCCACATGATGACAGCAGCTTTATGCCAGTTATAAGGTGCAGTAACTGGAGCTAGTGGTCCGCTAGCTGTTAGCAACTGACCATTTCCACAAAGTTACAGTAACTCTATAAGTCTTGCTGAGTAATAATAATACTTTACTGTCAGATTTAAACACATGTCCTCTGCTCTTTTTCAGTGGCTAAGGCAAAATCCAAGTAAGTGAAGTGCCTGAATATATACATACAGTTTTATGATTGTCAGTGTAAATATCAGTGTATAGTGTCGGGGACCACAGTAATGTACACGGTGCTGTCCTCTGTCAGGACCATCCTGGTGCAGATGTTGAGCGCTGCAGGGACAGGATACTGCTTCAACACAAAGAAGAACCGTCTCAGAGAGAAGATGGTGATGCGCAAACATGATCCATTCGGTAAGGTGTGACTGATGTTAGGACTGTTAGATAAGCTCTGCAGAGCCAAGGTGCACATAAATGCTTTTTATGACACACTGTTTAAATACCCTGTGCTCTGTCAGTAGGATTCAAATCAGTAGGATAGCTGAGTCCTAGCTCTTGCTGCTGTGTTGTTTGAATACACTTAAGTGCAAACATCCTTTCCTTTCCTTTCCTTACTCAGCTGTAACCACTTGCACAGATGGGCAGCCGTCTTCTCGTAAAGAACTTCAATAAGTCAATAGGACTAAATTGACTTATGGGGCAGGTCAAAAATTGCAATTTGGAGCTATTAAGCTGATGATAAAGTCATAGCTCATATATCCTATGACCCATCAAACCTTGAACCAAATCAATGCCTCCAAAGCAGAGGAAGGCTATAAAAGATAGCATTATAAGTGCTTCCAGCTTCTCCACTGTCTGAAATATCATCAAGAAATTGTGGTTAAGCAGAACAGTGGAAGTTGATGGAATACCAAAGAAAGGAAAAATTTTCAGATAAAACTGCCCATCTGCTGGGCTCAAAGGCAAAGAATATGCATGACGGCTGAGCTGACGCTGGTGTCGGGGTGCAGTGTTCCACTGTGGGGCGTTGAGCATCAGAAGGAATCCTTACTTGTGACCTCAACTCAAAAGTCGATGTCTAAAGTGCGTAAAGGGGGTGGAAATATTCTGCTTTGTGGTTGTGTGGGAGCCGGTAGCATGGAAAACAAAGCACTGACAGAGGGAGGAATGAATTCTAGCAAAATCTGTTTAGAAAAAGGAAAAAAAAGTGGCTTTTAGAGCAGAAAAGATACCTCAAATGAACTTTAAAATCCACCACTTCAGGTAACACAAGCTGGTTTTGCCCTCGCAGTCCCCTGACTAGAACATGTTAAAAACATTTTTACAACCTGCATTTAAACTCAGAAATACAGTGACATTTTAGTACGTGGGGAGACAACAGAACAGCTTGTTATAGTATCAAGAAGTCTGTGTTAAACTACAACTTCTCTGTGTTGGAGAAGGAGCACCTGTCCCGTAGGAGTAGGCTCTTTTAGAACGTATTAATTACAATCACTGTTACTATATTTGAAACTATACAGGAAGAAAGGAGGTCATAAGAGTGAACATTTACAGCAGAAACAGCTTGACTTTGTGAATCTTTTGCATTGTACTGTGTGAGCATGTGACAAAAACTCATGAATCTTGAGTCTGAGCTTTCAGGATGTAGATTACACAGTGTTATTTTGAATTTGTTTCATATTGTAGTTTAAGAATTGACTACTCATTATTGTTTATGTGGAGATGTAGGCACATTGAGCTCAATGTAAATAAATGAACTCCCACAAGATGTGAACATTGGTATCTACTCTTGACTTCCATTTAATGATCTGCTTTTTTTTTTTGTCTTTGCAGTGAACAAGCACGTCCTATTCTTTGAGAAGAAGAAGATTCGATCAATTTAATCATCCAACCAGATATATGGACAACATAAACCTAAAAGGTTTAAACAGACTATTTTTATTGTCATGGATATACAGACTGTCAGTCAACATTTCCTTTTTGGCTGACTGATCTTCGAAAGATTCCCCCTGGATGTGCAAAAAGCCTGCTATTCTATCCTCCACGCTGCAGCAGTCCAGAGTGATGCAAGCCCCAGCTGGGCTTCAACAAAGTCTTGATGATCAACACTTTAAAGAAGAAACTAATAGCGGATGTTATATATAGGGACCACCACAGCTGTCTTGATAGAATATGTTTCCGTGGCTGTTCAGTGGCTCTGTACAGTGTGCGTCATTGATTTTGATTTAGTCAAATGTAGAAGGTAAACATTTAAACCAGGTAAATTTATTTGAACCACTTCTGAAAATATCATCTTTGTGGGTGAATTCAATAAATTCTGTCAATTATGTGGCGTACATCTGAATATAAATGTCACGTTGCCATGTTTATTCAACAGTCCTCAACAGTTTCACAATATTGTTCATTCTTGGATTTCTCAAAAGCAGCTAATTTCATTAATCAGTTCATTGTTCGGTCAATGTGACCCCATCCAGGCTTGGTCTGTTTACACCGGCGTGGACTGCTGCTCTCAGAACAGCTCAGCCGGTAGGTTGCGTCTGAAGGGGTAGGACGTCTGCGTGCCGACAGCCTGCACGCTCACCGCCGCCACCTGATTGGCTCTGCGGGCCATCTCCTCCAGAGGCATTGTGGAATAATTAGCCATATAAAATGCCAGCGCGCCAATAAAGCTGTCTCCTGCACCCTGCGAAGAAACAATATTACAACAATGTTTTATTAAATTGTACCTGCGGTGCAAACAATTTCGCTGTCCGCAGCCGTGTGCCCCCGCTCAGCAGGATAAATATGCACTTGTATGTAAGAATAAGACCGATACTGTAACAAATTGGGAAACCTATTTAAAAACATGGCTGTTTTAAAATGCTTCATATTGAGAACAGGAACACTTACATATAAAAACAAAGGGAAGGGTAATATTTAAATTGAATAAGCTGTCAACAGTAGGGGGTGCTGTGGCATTTGTCAGCTGTTTGTCTAGTCTGCTGCCTGAAGCCTCAACTAGTTTCAAATGACTTTTTTTTTTTTTTTCAAAGTGTTTCTCAGTCAGGTCTTTGTATAAAGGGCTTTAATCATTTTCACATAATGCCCACAGAGTCATAAATTTGAAGCAGTAAGATCGCGAAACCTCTTAAATGCGGTTTGATTGTTCCACAGGATCCTTTAATACTTGAAAAAGAATTTTTCACTGACAACATGGAAAGCCTAAAAGTGTTCAACTGAAGACGTTATTACCTGTTCAAACAANCATTTGAACAACAGATATAGCCTGGTTCTGGTGCTAGGACCTCCAGGGCGGAAAGGGTTGAAGTCCATGGGAGCACAGCCTACCTCCCTGTATGTGGCAGCAGGAGGAAAACTGACCCTTTACTGACCAGAAGGAGGATTTGAATGGTGGAAAAAGGTGTGTATGGTTGTACCAAATGCCTCTCTCTGAACCAAAGTGGATTCCATAGGAAAAGACTCCAAAGGAACTCACTTTTGAAATACAAACATAAAATGCCAGATGGGAATTAAATGCATGTTGACAAATCACTGCTGTTCTAAGAGAATACTTCTTTGGACTGACAATTAAAAGGAGAGTCAGAGTAAATAGTGTAGATTTGAAAGATAAGAACAGCATCCTCACTGTAAAACACTGAGGAAGTTAAGCGGTGTTATGGGGGCTGCTATGCTGCATCTGGCATGGGTCCTCGAATCTGTGCAGGTTCTCTGGAGTAGAATACACTGAGCAGTACCTGGGAGTCTGTTTCAGTCACTGGTCAACAGGATAAGGACCCAACATATTGTTGTTAAGGAGCCTGAAGAGTCCTGATCTGAATGCAACTGAATATATGTGGAAAGAGCTGGATCTGACAGTTGGGAGAAGGCCTGAGAGAAGTGGAGCAGCACTACTAGCTGAGAAGAGTACAAGTCTCATTAATTGCTAGAAAAAGTGCTTAATTGCAGAAGAGCTTGATTACAGTTATTGCCTTGAAGAATGTGCTACAGAAATAGTAGGTTAAAGGCCCTGATATTTTTGTCCATGCCATTTTAATTTGTTGTTTTTTTTAGGATAATAAATGAATTAGATTTAGATTAGTGGATGCCAATTACGTTTGTCAGTTACGTTTAAGAAAATAGTGTTTTTCTCTTCTTGAGGTGGAAAGGTACCAGCAATTTTGGCCTCATCTGTAGAGGCACATAGCTGTAGCCCACCTACACCACAAAACAGCCAACTTTTCAGTCACAGCTGAGAATAACTGAATTTACTGAACAAAAATAAGTGCTGAGGGAATCCTGTGGAAAAGGCCTTGTTAGGTGCAGAGTGCAAGAAAAAGAAAAAACAGGCAAACAACACCTAAAAGAAGAAGAAAAAAAGCCTAAGTGGCTGTTTCTTGACTACCATCTTCCATCATTAAATCCTTTGTGTGGGAAACATTACATATCTATTACTGATGGGCCAGTATTTCACCTTTTCTTCTTCTTCTTCATTTGATAGTCCAGTATCATGTTATCAATAGAGCCTTGATTATACTCCTTACAGACACACGGATAGCTGTGGAACACACCGATGTGTCGTCATTGCTAATACTACTTTTTTGTTCAGTGGATTGAAAGACTACATTCTATACATGCTATACATGTGCAGTAGGTTGTGTCTACGTATTCTGTGCACTATTGCCCTTGTAGCTTAGTTGCTGCTTGAACTGTTCGCATGGACACAAATTTTAGGCTGCTCACTGATTTGGGGAAATAGACTTAAGTTCCGCCATGCTGACCCTAGCAGACCCTTGCATGCTTGCGGACAAGGAAAGTACAACACTGAGCTGAAAACAACAACTACAAATCCTTGGGTGTGTCTGCACTGGAAAAAAAGGCTATTGACGGTCCACATCGTGTAAATATCATCATCTCTCCATGTCTACTAGAGTGGACCCCTCCACTTATATTTATCTGCACTCCAAAATTTGTGTTCTTGCGACTACGCTACAAGTCCAATAGTGTGCATGCTTAGCAAAACTTCTAGATAAGATCTACTGTGTATGCCTGGAACAGAGTCCTCCAAGCAGACAGAAAGTAGTGTAACAACTATCTGCATGGGGTGTGTATAAGTACATCCAAGGCTTCGGCTACCTTTCTAATCCAGAGTAGTCCGCTTACAAGACTCAGTTCCATACATGTGCCGTAGACCGTATCCATGTGATCTGCGTTTACACATTACTGCAGAGCATGCGCACTATTGCCTTCGTTGTTGGCATGCAGACACTTTTGGTTCCATGCAGACCTGTGCGGAGGGTCCATGTGAAGTAAATTTCATCATGATGAAATCCATGTCATGCAGACCCTTGTGCACTCATGGACGAGGCACATTGGCCAGAGAAACTGTTATGTTAGTCACGAGAGATCAAAACCTGAACGTCAAACAGATCACTTCATGTACACAAAGGTCAGACCTATATGCATACATAAGATTTATAAATCATTCCTAACTTCAGATTGAGCATTTCTCTGTGTAGCTCAGTATTTTGTGCAGTGATATGATAGTGTAGTATTTTGGTGGACTACACCTTTAAGAGGATCAGGAAGTGCTTTCATTGCACCGGATGTACAAGTGCTCAATGTGACCTGTGTGGCTAACGGCGTTGTGTTTAATACTGTCTTCAAGGAGTAACTCACGACTTTACAAAAATGTTTCTAACCACCGTCAATTGTAAGTATTTAACACATTAAATGCAAAGAGCCGGGCGCATGCGCGTTTAGAGCTGTCTGAAACGTGAAGTATCCGGCTGGTTAGCTAACACACCGTAAAGGATGCTATTCTACACACTACATGTGTATCATTCACTGCAGCTACACATACTTAAATTAGTGTTTTGTGGACCGCCGTTGGCGATATCTTATAATATCTTACACTATACGTTAATAGGTTTTTACGAAGAGCTTCTAGCATCTATGCCGTATGTTCAGCAACGTTAGCTTTAGCTTCCTTGTAGCTAGTTTGTCGGTGACAGAGCTAACTGACAGGAATATGAATGACATCGTCCGAAAAAGCCCAGAAGGTTCTTTAAAACGACTTACATTTGTTCTGAAAGTGTTGCTCAAATTCCTGTAGAGTCTCGTAGTCACATGAATGAAAAATATTCCGCCCACTTATTGGTAAAAACCGATTTTTTTTATTTATTTCATTTTACTGTGGTGCCTCTATTACCAAATCAAAACAAAGATGGCAGCCCACTGGCTACATTGGGATGAACCTTGTAAGGTTTTCAGAGAGCTTCATTTACCTTCAGAAACACATTTGGCTGGCTTTGTAAGCAGGTGTATATGGTTTATATGCTTGAGCAGTTATCTCTTTTGCAATCATCCTTATGTCTTTGTATTATTTTACCTGTTATGCGCCCCACATTATAACCAACCCAGTTTTTTTGACAGCTTTAAAGGACTACTTCATTTCATATAATGCAGCAAATTACAGCCAATTCATTGTGACTGAAATGTGTGCAATGCATCAAAACTATGTGGTTAATATTTTGAAGATTGCAGCCCATCAGATGACTGCAAGAGAGATAATTTCTTTACAACACTGTAATCTGAAAATGATGCTAGCGTTCAAATATAAATGACATTAGACATACCAAACACATAGCCTACAACCTAAACATAAGAAACAATGCAATAGTGTTGTCTGTACTCAAGAAAATATCCACATGATGACAGCAGCTTTATGCCAGTTATAAGGTGCAGTAACTGGAGCTAGTGGTCCGCTAGCTGTTAGCAACTGACCATTTCCACAAAGTTACAGTAACTCTATAAGTCTTGCTGAGTAATAATAATACTTTACTGTCAGATTTAAACACATGTCCTCTGCTCTTTTTCAGTGGCTAAGGCAAAATCCAAGTAAGTGAAGTGCCTGAATATATACATACAGTTTTATGATTGTCAGTGTAAATATCAGTGTATAGTGTCGGGGACCACAGTAATGTACACGGTGCTGTCCTCTGTCAGGACCATCCTGGTGCAGATGTTGAGCGCTGCAGGGACAGGATACTGCTTCAACACAAAGAAGAACCGTCTCAGAGAGAAGATGGTGATGCGCAAACATGATCCATTCGGTAAGGTGTGACTGATGTTAGGACTGTTAGATAAGCTCTGCAGAGCCAAGGTGCACATAAATGCTTTTTATGACACACTGTTTAAATACCCTGTGCTCTGTCAGTAGGATTCAAATCAGTAGGATAGCTGAGTCCTAGCTCTTGCTGCTGTGTTGTTTGAATACACTTAAGTGCAAACATCCTTTCCTTTCCTTTCCTTACTCAGCTGTAACCACTTGCACAGATGGGCAGCCGTCTTCTCGTAAAGAACTTCAATAAGTCAATAGGACTAAATTGACTTATGGGGCAGGTCAAAAATTGCAATTTGGAGCTATTAAGCTGATGATAAAGTCATAGCTCATATATCCTATGACCCATCAAACCTTGAACCAAATCAATGCCTCCAAAGCAGAGGAAGGCTATAAAAGATAGCATTATAAGTGCTTCCAGCTTCTCCACTGTCTGAAATATCATCAAGAAATTGTGGTTAAGCAGAACAGTGGAAGTTGATGGAATACCAAAGAAAGGAAAAATTTTCAGATAAAACTGCCCATCTGCTGGGCTCAAAGGCAAAGAATATGCATGACGGCTGAGCTGACGCTGGTGTCGGGGTGCAGTGTTCCACTGTGGGGCGTTGAGCATCAGAAGGAATCCTTACTTGTGACCTCAACTCAAAAGTCGATGTCTAAAGTGCGTAAAGGGGGTGGAAATATTCTGCTTTGTGGTTGTGTGGGAGCCGGTAGCATGGAAAACAAAGCACTGACAGAGGGAGGAATGAATTCTAGCAAAATCTGTTTAGAAAAAGGAAAAAAAAGTGGCTTTTAGAGCAGAAAAGATACCTCAAATGAACTTTAAAATCCACCACTTCAGGTAACACAAGCTGGTTTTGCCCTCGCAGTCCCCTGACTAGAACATGTTAAAAACATTTTTACAACCTGCATTTAAACTCAGAAATACAGTGACATTTTAGTACGTGGGGAGACAACAGAACAGCTTGTTATAGTATCAAGAAGTCTGTGTTAAACTACAACTTCTCTGTGTTGGAGAAGGAGCACCTGTCCCGTAGGAGTAGGCTCTTTTAGAACGTATTAATTACAATCACTGTTACTATATTTGAAACTATACAGGAAGAAAGGAGGTCATAAGAGTGAACATTTACAGCAGAAACAGCTTGACTTTGTGATTCTTTTGCATTGTACTGTGTGAGCATGTGACAAAAACTCATGAATCTTGAGTCTGAGCTTTCAGGATGTAGATTACACAGTGTTATTTTGAATTTGTTTCATATTGTAGTTTAAGAATTGACTACTCATTATTGTTTATGTGGAGATGTAGGCACATTGAGCTCAATGTAAATAAATGAACTCCCACAAGATGTGAACATTGGTATCTACTCTTGACTTCCATTTAATGATCTGCTTTTTTTTTTGTCTTTGCAGTGAACAAGCACGTCCTATTCTTTGAGAAGAAGAAGATTCGATCAATTTAATCATCCAACCAGATATATGGACAACATAAACCTAAAAGGTTTAAACAGACTATTTTTATTGTCATGGATATACAGACTGTCAGTCAACATTTCCTTTTTGGCTGACTGATCTTCGAAAGATTCCCCCTGGATGTGCAAAAAGCCTGCTATTCTATCCTCCACGCTGCAGCAGTCCAGAGTGATGCAAGCCCCAGCTGGGCTTCAACAAAGTCTTGATGATCAACACTTTAAAGAAGAAACTAATAGCGGATGTTATATATAGGGACCACCACAGCTGTCTTGATAGAATATGTTTCCGTGGCTGTTCAGTGGCTCTGTACAGTGTGCGTCATTGATTTTGATTTAGTCAAATGTAGAAGGTAAACATTTAAACCAGGTAAATTTATTTGAACCACTTCTGAAAATATCATCTTTGTGGGTGAATTCAATAAATTCTGTCAATTATGTGCCGTACATCTGAATATAAATGTCACGTTGCCATGTTTATTCAACAGTCCTCAACAGTTTCACAATATTGTTCATTCTCGGATTTCTCAAAAGCAGCTAATTTCATTAATCAGTTCATTGTTCGGTCAATGTGACCCCATCCAGGCTTGGTCTGTTTACACCGGCGTGGACTGCTGCTCTCAGAACAGCTCAGCCGGTAGGTTGCGTCTGAAGGGGTAGGACGTCTGCGTGCCGACAGCCTGCACGCTCACCGCCGCCACCTGATTGGCTCTGCGGGCCATCTCCTCCAGAGGCATTGTGGAATAATTAGCCATATAAAATGCCAGCGCGCCAATAAAGCTGTCTCCTGCACCCTGCGAAGAAACAATATTACAACAATGTTTTATTAAATTGTACCTGTGGTGCAAACAATTTCGCTGTCCGCAGCCGTGTGCCCCCGCTCAGCAGGATAAATATGCACTTGTATGTAAGAATAAGACCGATACTGTAACAAATTGGGAAACCTATTTAAAAACATGGCTGTTTTGAAATGCTTCATATTGAGAACAGGAACACTTACATATAAAAACAAAGGGAAGGGTAATATTTAAATTGAATAAGCTGTCAACAGTAGGGGGTGCTGTGGCATTTGTCAGCTGTTTGTCTAGTCTGCTGCCTGAAGCCTCAACTAGTTTCAAATGACTTTTTTTTTTTTTTTCAAAGTGTTTCTCAGTCAGGTCTTTGTATAAAGGGCTTTAATCATTTTCACATAATGCCCACAGAGTCATAAATTTGAAGCAGTAAGATCGCGAAACCTCTTAAATGCGGTTTGATTGTTCCACAGGATCCTTTAATACTTGAAAAAGAATTTTTCACTGACAACATGGAAAGCCTAAAAGTGCTCAACTGAAGACGTTATTACCTGTTCAAACAACGGAGAGATTGAAAGAAGAAAAAGACAGTACGCTGTTTATTCCACACATGGTTGCTAATCAACAAACTGTTATTGTATTGTTTTTTTTACTAAAACAGCTTAATAATCAAAAAAAAGAAAAGAAAACTCACAAACAAAAAAAACCCCATACGGTTTACTAATTGCTTTTCAAAGTCAGCTGAACAGCACATGGCTGCTTTATGGCTTCACCATAACTGCCAGCAGCTCGGGGTTTGGCTATCACTGTGTCACATAAATTATGCCTCTTCCATGCTCATCTATTGATAAAGACGGAATGTGCAGTCTACGCCCTGGAGGGGGTTGGCTGGGACGGGATGCCGGGGGGGAGGTGAGGGGAGGGCTCGCTGATGGGAAAAGGCACAATGGTATGTGGCGACACGCTCATGTTTAACCACAAATGGCCCCCCGACGCTGGTTCTCACAAGCCCAGCTCCATTACTCATCACCTCGGCTCTCACTAGAGTTCATTGCACTCTCTCTCTTCTGAGCACCTCTGTAAGCTGCCCCCCCTCTCACCCTCCAACCTCAAAGTAACCCTTTTGTCAGGGCGATGCTTGTCGGTTGAGTGGGGATGATTCAGTGGCATGGGGCAAAAAACAAAAACCCTAACTCTGACCCTGCCCGGGCAGAGAGGGCACTGGAGACAAGAGGTCCAAACAAGGCTCACGGACCTGGCACCTAAACGGATATTATCTAAACAAGCATTCTTTGTTCATCCATATGCAACATAAGGGGGGAAGAAAAAAAAAAAAGTTCTGATTTGACATTTGAAAAGGCCATTATTTGCACCCCCCTCCCCCCACACCCTGATGTTCGCCACTGGTGCGACTCCTGGACTGCAGAGATGCTGGAAAGAGTGAGATCAGAGATGAAACATTTCACAGGCCTGGTGGATTTCCATGTTTAAACCCGTGGTGTGTTTATGTCTCCTGTCTGGTAGCTGGGCTGGGCTACAATACAGCCAACATTTGGAAAGAAGGCTTTGGTGGAGCGGTCCCACTGGTTTGGTTCTGGCCCATCTCCCAGTTCACACGTCACGGCTGAGACGATGATACCACTCCTGAGTGGGGGTTGGTGCTTGGGAACGCTGTGCATTGCGGCGAGGAGGACGGTTTGAACAGCAAGATTAGCAGATAGAAACTGGAAGATTTCAGTCCTCACAGTCATGACAATAGATGATTATTTTTTAATTGCAGGCCACTTCATTTCTCATTTATGTTTTAAATCACCTGTTGACATTACAGTAATCTACCATTAAATCCCTGCAAAGACAACCACCTTTGTCTTGTCACATTACAACAGGGTGGAGCTGAAACAGGTTTCTAAAAGCTAAGACTGGCATTTACAGTTAAACTCGCTAAAAGCCTGCGCTATTGTTTTCATAAATAAACAATTAACCCATTATTGTGATCTTTTTCAGATGAAAAAAAAAATCATTTAGTAGATACAGGTAGTATCTACATTTTAATAAAACTAAATAAAATTAATGAATACAATTTAAAATGTGTTCTGTTTGGGGCTCTTTAAAATACTTGACTGAAATTGGATCAAAATGGCCAAAAATAACGTAAAAATAATAAGGTGAAGTGCTTCAATGCTATTACTTTGTTAGTGTTGAGGTTTCAACATGATTCAACATTATGCATCTTTAACTATATGAAATGAAATGAAATGAAAATTTCATATTCAGTAGTTTAAAAATGTAATTGGTTGTAGTTGCTTAAAAAATGGACTTTCGCTGCTTCTATATTGTACTTATATGCACACAAATAAGATTTCTGTTAAGCTGAGTGTCACACTTCGTACTTACTACTACAAATTTGAAAACTGTACTCTTGATTCAGACACCAAAATGAGGCATGTGCTTTGTTTTAGTGATAAGAATGCATTACACTTGCAATGCTACACTTCTTGGCTGCCAACACAGCACTAACATATTATCAGGTTTCATGTTCTGTCCACTTGGTGGCTGCAAGTCCACTATTCATTCTCATTTTAGCTCTGTTTTGGCCTCCACCAACTCATGAGATAGATATCTGGCTCTTTAGCTAACTGAATTTTTCTTTGAAGAAGCTCTTGTGTACAGTGTCTGAGCAGAGTCGCAGGGGAGCTGGTGTGCTGAGCTGCAGCAAATGAGGAGAGGTTAGTGAAGAGAAAAGTGAAGAATAAGATAAATAAGCAACAATGTAGAGTTACATCTAAACCGCTTTGAGGCAGGAAAGGATCATTTTCTAGGAAAAAATTGAAATATGTAACATTAATTGACATAGATGAGTTTTTAGATTTTAAGATTAAACCAATGGCAGAGGAGTAAAATATAAAATACAAAATACCACAACACCGATCATAGCTTTAAGGGACTGGTAAAATAGACCCATGATTGGCCAAAACTATCTGTCATGTGAGCCTCATTATGTAACTTTATAGTCTGTCTACATCTAAATAAGTAGTTGCAAACTAACAAAACACAACTTCAGTGTTTTAGTCTAAACGTCAGCTCACTTGACTGTTGGAGCCACCATCCAACCTTTCTGTGTCTTACTAACAATGTCTCCATCCCTGAGACTGGCATGTGACGCTACTGGATCAAGTGAATGAAGCTCAACGAGGCTGACAAGCGCTACCCCCTTCAGCCCTGCTGCCGCTGCCCTCGACACAGTTTGGTGAAGGTTAGATCTGGAGGCCTGTCAATCAAGTGACACAAGCACTTGCCGTGGATGAGCTGTGATGCTCTCGCTGGTCGGCTCCGTCCGCCGTATCTTGACCTCCGTTCCGTTCCTCTGCCTGTTCTCTGCTGGTACTCACGCTGAAGTTAGAAATTAGGATGGCAGACACCTCCGTAAGATGCTCACCAAATGAACAATGTATGCTTTCGGAACTTCTCTACGATCTGATGTGTTCGTACACTGACACCGGAATAAAGTCTGTGATCAGAGAGCTAAAATAAAACATGAGTTACTTCACTAGATTTAACACAACAGAGGCAAACCTTCAGCCACTATGGACACTTTTACATGTGGTGGGCTGTCACTGCCAAAACCACAAGGCAAGGACCTTTCTTTAATGGCTGTTGCAGAAGCACAACTGTGGTGTGTTTGGAATAAAGAGATGAACAGTTAATACAAGCAGCAGCGACTGCCATGGCTGCACAGGCAAACAAAGGAGTGCATACAGAAACAGAAGTCTATCAACAGAAAATCCAAAGACAACAGTAGCGCCCACACGCTTTGATTGACAAGTGATCTTTGTAAAGTGAAGCACAGACACCGCAGCAGTGAACGCTAAGCAGCACAAGCAGCACAAGCAGACAAAAAAAACAACAACACAAAAACAAAACCTATAGAAAATGCAGATTCCACAATGAGTTCCACATTGTATGTCTGTCATGTTACAAAGTCTGCTGCACCCGCTGAACCTCTCGAGCCTCCACAACCTGTGACTGTGTTTCTCACCCAGAGGCCTCCTGCGATCTTGACTCCCATCCTGGTATGACAGATGGAGCTATCTGCAGTTAACTCCTGAAGCCTACAGCCTTTGTCAATGAAAGGCACCCTGGGGAGAGCAAAGACCATCTGAGGGGCAGCGGTGACTAACAGCGGCTTCCACGCCCGGAAGCTTCCAGTAAGACTCGCAAACAGCCGGGGACGACTCCTCTGAAGTAACAAGAGAGGAAGACTCGAGAGATCAAAAACACATTTAATTGAACCAATTAGGCCCCTCACATCTTTGATCCATCTGCAGTGCTTTGTCTTAGTTCTCTATCAGCCTTTTGTGTATAACACTGATCGACATGACTGTGCACTGGCAGAGGTCTGGGTTGCTAAACAGCAGCTGCTGTAGCACGTGCAATCCATTAAAACACGGTGATGTGGCAGTTTTTCTTATTGTGTCATGCTGACCAGAGTTGGCAGGGTTGAGGAATGCGAGGCTCAGGAGGTATTCCCTTACCTCGAGCTTCCAGGAAGGAATCATGCAATTGCTTCTTAGTCGTCTCCAGTCATTGGAGAAGACTGGGAATAATTTGACTGTCCAGACCCACTGTACCACTGTAATGTCTGGTTTAGACAGCCCTGTCTACCTTTCGCCCTACACAGTGGACCTCCCGGAGCAGTGGAAACCAAGGCCACCCAAGTCCTGCTAAGGCAAAAAGCCCTGGATGTGTGTGTGTGTGTGTGTGTGTGTGTGTGTGTGTGTGCGCACTGAAGTCTCTTCTAACTGTCCACACCAAACAGCCAAGGCTGTGATCTCAGCAAGGGAAGCCTGTACTCAATTTAAAACAAAAGGGACACAAATGGATAAAGGAGGAGGGATGGGGGAGACCCACAGTAGATGAGTGGATTTGCTTTGTTATTCATCCAGATTCCCGGCCCTGACTCAGCCCATAATTGCTCTTGCTGTGTTAAATGTGTTATTCAGACAGTTGCAGAAGGAGAAGATGATGAAATAGTTACTGTCAAAAGAAAGCTAAATGATTTCGCAGCCACAATGGCACTTCATTAGCCAAGCCAGATCCATCAATCAGATATATTCCAACCGGGACAAGCTGGGACGAAGCGACGAAATGGTAAAAAGCGGATTTGCATTTGTTCCGATTACGAGCGCGCAATGCCACCTGCGGCGCCCAGCCCAACAGTAGCCTAGCTAACATAGCGAGAAACCGCAAGTGACTCACTGTGTTGATATCGAAGAATCGAAGCCGAAAACACAGCTTAAGATCGCAGTCCGACGCTGGTGAAAGCGGAGAGCTGCAACAAGAAAAATCCTGCTCCTGACAGGCAATCTTTCATAAGCGTTTCCGAAAAAAAACCAAAACAAAACAAAACAACCAAAGCAGTAATAACAGCAGATGTGATCATAACTAAGAGGTCCGTGTTACCAGAATAAGCTCAGAAGAAGTGAATAATGATCTTGATAACAACCTGTTGTTTTTCCCCCTCTCTTGTAAAAAGAAAAAAAAAAAAAACGAGCTTTACTGGAAGAGGGATTATGATGTCCAAAAGAGTTAAACACAACAGAATTTATGGGCCCATCAAAAGAACAGAAGGGGTGGGGTGAGAGTGTGTGTGTGTCTGAGGGGGGACATGCAGCAGGCCCGACCACAGCTTTCTGCTGACTGATGCAGGCCCAAGAGGTGAGTCATGGCAGCGGAGGGGAGAGTCGGAGTAGGGGTGCTGGGTAAGTACTCCTGGAGGCTATTGGGAAGTGAGGAGAGTGAAGATGGTGAATAAGAGTAGTTATGTGTGTCTGCTTTAAAATGAGGGGGCAAACAGGAGGTCACACACCGTGCAAGAAAAGCCAGCTCTTTGTTCCTGAACTGCCAGAGTGACCTGGGATAAGCAGCAGCAGTAACTCTGGAATGTGTCTGCAAACACACTTACACACACTGAACAGTCACCCTTTGCTGTGTTTTATTCGTTGCTTTTCCCTCACGTTTACGTTATCTGAAGTGGGTTTCATATAAAGTTTAGATCACACTGCTTGTAAATGGTTTTACCTCCATTTTACTATACTGCATGATGTGCAGCGTTTGGAAATTACAGCACAATAAAGGTCCTTAGGGGAAGTATTGTGTAAAAGAACCCATTACACAAACAATTAAACCTCACCAGGTTTGATTAAAGCATAGAGGTGATTAACACCCCTGCGAGATGACGTATTTGGTTGGTAGAACACATGTACCACAAAACCCTCAGCGGCAGGAAACGCAAACATTGAACCGAGGCTGGTGTGACGAAAACAAACCACAGATGACTCAAGTGACGCTCTGCCTCTTTTAAAGATTCAAATCAGCGAGGGGAAACAGGGCCTGGTCACCAGATCCCCTGTGATCTTAAACTACGCAACTGGAGCAATAGACAGATCTGCAGCTCACAGAAGCAAGATTTTACTCAAAGGTGATGATGGGCAGGAAAAAAAGCGGGTATCGAAAACATTTTTTGAATCATGTTTCTTTTTTTCTTCTTCTGGTATTGCTGTAAAGAACAAGATGTTCCTTCCAGTGTCTATATTTTAGTGCGAAATGGGCTAGATTGCATAATTTTCCATTTAAAATGTTTTCCCTTTTTACTAACACGGAAAGTTCTATTACCTTCAAGAGTTACCCTCTGGGTATGCTGACACTGAAGAACATGTGGGGAAAAAAATCAAAGTAGTTAAACTTACTGCTTACAAGGATTGCTGTAATAAGAAAAAAGAAAAGAAAAACTTTGAACAACGGAATGATATATTAAACTGAATAAAGCTGTATAAAATAGAAGCAAACTATAAATGGTAGGAAAGGGAACTACTTGCACCCTGAAAAGTGTACAGATCCAGCCATATATTCACTATGTATATAATTAATGCTAAAACTATTTGTTGCTAAGTGGTGAGGCAGATTCATTTATCAACAAGATGATAATTAGAATATTGTTAAAAGTGACAATTTGCTGATTTTCATTGTTTTTATTTTAATCATATGTTACATTTTTTTTTTTGAAATTGTCAGAAAAGAATGCAGCAGTTGTACACATCAACTTGGGTTCTGAAAGATGGTGATGGGCATTTTACTTGTTTCTAAATATTTATAATTTAAATATTGAATCAAATATTGAAACAACATTAAGGCTTAATTGATGAGTAAAACAAGACCAAACTGTGATATTGAAACGAACATGCTCATAATTACAATAGTGATGTTGAGACTGTTAAACCCTGCTAACTACAACTCAACACAAAATGCAGCGAAGGCTGATGGGAATGTCATTAGCTTTACAGGTGTTTTGTCTGACACCAAAGTAGGAGTGCAACTAACAATTAATTTAATTATCAAAGAACCTGCTGATTAACTGTTTCTAAATGAAATGGTTAATTCTGTCCTAGTTAATCAGCATAATGTTTCTTGATACATACATTAACTGGTTGGGTTTAAACGTCAGAGAATTGTGAAACATGTCCTGTCACGATTTTCTAAGGGCAACATCATCAAATAGCTTCATTTAAAAAAAATAAAAAAAATTCTTCTCTTTAAATGTTTTATTTAAAAATTTAATATTTCCAATGATTTAGGTGTAACTGTCTTATTTTCCTGTTCCTGTTAAGATTAAACCTCTACCAATAATAGATGCTTGTACATACTTTGCTAACAACACACCTGTCTTGCAAAGAAATTACAGTTTAGTCTGAAGTGGTGGTCTGACCAACATCTGACATCTAAAACGTCCCCTGGAGCTCTAAGTGACTGCAATGGGCTTTTTTGGGTACTATTTTTAGATATTTTACAGACTAATAATCATAATATTTGAGTGAATTAAATAGTATACAAAGAGTACATGTGACGTCCTTACTGTAGTGTCCACGGCTGTGACAGCAGGAACTGGAACATGTTTTGAGGTAGATTCCTGTGCCTTGAGCACCACACTACCCTGAGGTCCCAAAGTGATGATGACTGACCCGCAGCCTCGCTTCAGCAGCTCCTGACCAGCGCGATGTGCTTCTTCCAGATTAGTTACTGAGGAACCAGTGAGCAGCTCTGCCTATATGGCAAACACATAAGCATAGATGATAATGGAACACTGAGACATGTTCTTTTAAACGAGTCTTTTTCTCTTTTTAATGTCATGGAGTCAAGTTAATCAGAGGTTAGGAATTAAAATTAAAGATAGAGCAAAACCAGCACTGGGGTGGGATACTGGGAGGATAAATAAAGAACTGAATTATGGAAATTCCCCAAGGCAAAACCCCAGCACCACAAACTGCGTGCAAGGTATCAAAGCAACAGCTTCATTTTCTGCTTTTTTTAATGAAAACATGTTTGTTTTGTCCTTTTAATGAACATGGTTAAGTACATCACAATCATTTATGTCCAAGGATCCCTAATTAGTAGTCTATTGCTTGCTTGCTATAGCTTACTGTTCTGTGTTAACGGTTCTGCCATGAGTCAGCTCTTAATTACACACTGACCGTGGTCAGACAGACTCATAAAACACATTCAGTCTGTTAAGGATTTGCTGGATCCGTCAGCAGTCTGCAGGCCAAACATTTTCAAAGAGTAGATCCTCTGACTGTGCTGGTTCATCTGGCTCCAAAATGACTAAACAGTGACAAAGCAGCACTCAACAGCTGATGTTTGAGGAACTTCAAGGACACTCAGAACCACAGCGGTTCTGTTCAGAGTAAGTGGCAACCTTGATACAGATGACAACAGAATTATTCACGAGTTGTAGCGCATCTGCACGGTTGAAGTTTATTTTCAAGCTTAACTTACGGTTTTTTTTGGTTTTTACCTTGTAATTGTATTTTATGATTCTTTTTTTTTTCTTTTTTTTTTTTTTACGGCTCCTTTCCTGACTGTAAAAGTTAATTGTTATTTTCCTTTTTTACTGTACATGACTGGATTTGGCTGAGTTTCATTTTCAGTGTGTAAAAAAACCTAATTAAATCTTACCTTTGGACCCAAAATTCTGTATTTATAAATTGCAAAACACTAAATTATATGCTCAGCCCTAAGCATACAATTCATATTAGCAATGTCAGTAGTTAAGCAGCATGTGTCTACAAGCGTTATCTTTACCTTGCCTGGTGAGGTGAGCAGCATTGCAACACAGTGACTAGTCACTTCACCACCACTGCCATGACTGTTACACAGAGGAAAGCCACAGCATTACTGTATTAATGTGGCTTACTGTAATGTTTTAGGGGATTACCGTAAACTTACAAGTGATGCACATATCTAGTGCTATCAGATTATTGCTAAAATAATGATAATTATTATTATTTGTTTTTTTTTAACATAAACAACAACAGCACTGCTTTCACATCTTCACCTTAATTCAGAGCATCTCCTTGAAGGAAGATATAATTTAATAGTAGCCTATCCAAAATGTTTTACTAGCTGAACATTTCCATGTCATAAAACAATGCAATTTATTAATTCTCATATGCATGCTGGAGTAGATACTCATTGGGCAGCTGTGCACAGAGGCCTCTAGTCCCAAAGAGGTGTGTGACAAAAATCACTTTGACACAGCGAACAAGGCATTCTAAAGTTGACCAATGTAATATAATTATGGGAACCAATTGTCATATATATATATATATATATATATATATATAATGTGGTACATAGAGTTAAAAAAAAAAGAAGTAAAAACATATTCCACATCGTAACAATTACTGACTTCTCTTCAACATCTTGTTTTTTCTCATTACAACAACATTACAGCTTTATTATGTTGCACTTTAAAATAATGTTCTGTTGTTCTAGTACTTAATGTACCATTCAGTGTCAAGAGTTTTGCAAATTCAAATTGTAGTTTACTATTTATCTATCATTTTGTTTACTCTACCTCTCTCTTGTGTCAATGCTTACATACAAGTACATAAAGACGGACGGCACTACACACACACACACACACACACACACACACACACACACACCTACACCTACGTAACCACAAAAACAGTATCATCATGACATAATGCACAAAATGTTGTTTTTTTCTGGTTTGTCTTGTATGTTCTATTTCCACTTTGTGGATGTCCACAATGTAGATTAAATGTAGATTTTTATTTTCTGTACACACAATATCTATAGCTTAACTGCTGATCGAGGAATCTCGCCGATATTACTCAGAGGATTCTTCCTTCTTTCTTGCTGTGCAGACTGGCGCGCACCCACGGGCAAATTTGTAATTTAGATATTTGGCTATATGAATAAAACTGACCTAACTTGGCCTATTTTAGACTGTACATTTATTTACACGTATTTCTTCCTGGGACCCATTGTCTTGTTCATAAACATTTCAGGAATGCACTGATCTAATTAAACATTTATGAAAAATGTTATTTTGTGCAACTTCTGTTTGAATTAACCTAGGCAAAAACAAAAAAGTTCAGATCATGTTTTGTTAAATAAAAAACATGTGTGGGAAATGTGTGCGATAGAATGTAGTTAAAATTAAAGAGATTTAATTCTTGTTCCTAATAAACAAGAGACACACTCACGGACAACACATTTTTTAGGTTGGACTTGCCCTTTAATTTTCTACGGCATTTATAGATTTAAAAATGAGACTGCTTTAAAAGGACCCGCAATTTGGAAAACACACACGCATTAAAACCAAACTTCTTGTTTCCGTATCACGCTCCTATGAAAGTGTGTGTGAGATGTGAGATGAGGGTGATAGAAACGTGGATCAATTTTGGCACAGGAGGTCCTCAGGTGGACATCAAAGATAATCCCCCTCTCTATAAAGCACTTCAGCGTAGTATGTGGGCTGAGGATCAAAGAGTGCCTGCACTTTGTCATCCTTAAGCCTTCCTTTCACCCCTCCTACCCCTGAGCATGGTACAGTGAGACCACACACACACA